CTCCTATTTTCTGGCTTTAAATAACCTGCAAAGGGTTGATAAGCCGTAGAAAACGAATCAATCAATCAATGAAATCTTCATATCTATCTATCGACTTGGGTTATTCTTATCTTTCTATCTCAATTTCCACATTTCTCTCCGCCTTTCTGTTTCAAATCTTTATCAACGTCTCCTTTAATCATATCTACTTGTCTCCTATTTTCTGGCTTTAAATAACCTGCAAAGGGTTGATAAGCCGTAGAAAACGAATCAATCAATCAATGAAATCTTCATATCTATCTATCGACTTGGGTTATTCTTATCTTTCTATCTCAATTTCCACATGTCTATCCGCCTTTCTGTTTCAAATCTTTATCAACGTCTCCTTTAATCATATCTACTTGTCTCCTATTTTCTGGCTTTAAATAACCTGCAAAGGGTTGATAAGCCGTAAAAACGAATCAATCAATCAATGAAATCTTCATATCTATCTATCGACTTGGGTTATTCTTATCTTTCTATCGCAATTTCCACATTTCTATCCGCCTTTCTGTTTCAAATCTTTATCAACGTCTCCTTTAATCATATCTACTTGTCTCCTATTTTCTGGCTTTAAATAACCTGCAAAGGGTTGATAAGCCGTAAAAACGAATCGATCAATCAATGAAATCTTCATATCTATCTATCGACTTGGGTTATTCTTATCTTTCTATCGCAATTTCCACATTTCTATCCGCCTTTCTGTTTCAAATCTTTATCAACGTCTCCTTTAATCATATCTACTTGTCTCCTATTTTCTGGCTTTAAATAACCTGCAAAGGGTTGATAAACCGTAAAAACGAATCAATCAATCAATGAAATCTTCATATCTATCTATCGACTTGGTTTATTCTTATCTTTCTATCTCAATTTCCACATGTCTATCCGCCTTTCTGTTTCAAATCTTTATCAACGTCACCTTTAATCATATCTACTTGTCTCATATTGTCTGTTTTTAAATAACTGGCAAGGGCTTGATAAGCCGTAAAACGAATTAATAAATCTTCATCCAACATAATGCCGAAAGACGGTTTGACATCCACAGGACATACTGAATTTAAGAGTTGGGGGAGGCTGACGAGTTTGTGTGAATGGATGGCGGGAAGTGGGTGGGAGGGATTCTAAATTAATAAACATTAGTAAGAGCTACAAATGTTTAGAATGTTGTGGAGAACCATGACCGCTCGGTTCCTGAATGTAAACGGTACATAGAAGAAGAAATAGAAAGATTCCATTTATCAGGCAAAGATTTAGACCTATTTAACTCAAATGCTACATTACAATAAATACGAGAAAGATTCTGGATTACTAAAAAGAAATCTTACTTAAATAAACACGCGATATTCATACTCAGAATGTTATCAGAACGAGCAATACCAATGCTGAAGGACGTCTACCTGTGTTTTATAGACTACTCAAAGACGTTCGAAAAAATACGCCACAAAGTTCTGCTCAGCAACCTTGACATATTCGGGAAAGACATTACAATAATCAAGAATCTATACTTGCAACAAACTACCTGCATACGGACAGAAAATGAGTTCATCAGATATAGAAGAATAGAAAGGGTTGTAAGACAAGGATGTACCTTCTCCCCGGATTTATTTAACCTATACAGCGCGGCAATTCTGAGAGAACTGGAAATCGTACCAGTGCTGATATCAGACACGGAAAAGAAACTACGAAAGCTCCTACAGATGGTAATGAAGGAAAGCGAGATGAAAGGACTAAGCATAAACTACATATATAAATTTGAAATATCGATTTACCATAATTTAGCATTCTTGCAAATGCCAGAATGGTTAAATTATGTTCCGTTACAAGTTTGAATTTGAACTTAAAAATGAAATCAATGTAAATCGTTAGCTGATGGCGGGAACAGAATCGTCGAAAGATGTTGCAACATTCAATAAAAAAAATACATGTCATATGGTCGGCGTCGTTTCTTTCCATGCGCATTGCAGGAGATTATGAACAATTATTAGGGTTTTGAAATCAGGAGTTGTCTTTTTTCTAAACTTGTTGCCATGCACAGCTAGAAATACTGCTCTATGCAACTATTTAATCCATAGTTTGAGGGAGAAGTTGATGGAGTCATACATTTTGCACATAAGTGAATATAATGAACACGGCTAGAATTCGAACTTGGTTCCTCGATTTCTCATACCAAGCCACTATCCAATAGACCACCCTCACATAGAACATAACATTGTCTATAATTATATCGCGTCAACCAGATATTACAGTCAGTCCTTGGAACATTAGAGAAAGTCATTTCTTGTCACTACATTCCTATTTTGATGTCATATCTGTGTAAAGATAACAATAGAATTATTTCAAGCAAACCGAAATATCATTAGTCTCACACCAATAGGAATTCTCCTTTTTGTTGAGCCGTAGAACAAACCTCTGATGCCAACTATTGTGCTTAAACTTATTAAAGCTCTAAGCTTGTGAATTGAAGTTAACAGCGGTGATTATCATATAATATACACACAGTATAACAACTTAAGTAAGGGTTTGATCTGCATAAAGCCCTGACTTTTGATGGGTCTTTTGACAGCAGACCCTTAAATCTACTTCTGAAAGATCTGCCAAAGTTGAGCCGGAATTCATCAAAAGATGTGACTAAAACTATACCAAACGATTTAGGCGGATATGTAATATAATTGGCCCTGTTCTGGCGTCTCGTCTACAGTCGCTCTCTCACAGACGCGCCGTCGCCTCTCTCTGTCTTTTCTACAAATACTTTCATGGTAATTGCTCTGATGAGCTGCTTTCACTGGTTCCCAGACTTCATGAATTCAAGCGCCCTACGAGGCTGGCATCCCGCTCTCACCTTTTCACTGTAGAAACTTTTAAATGTAGCCGTCTCTTCTACTCCAATAGCTTCATACCTCGCACCTCTCGCCTGTGGAACACCCTTCCCTATTACTGTTTCCCTGAGACCTATAATCTCCAACTATTTAAATGTAATGTCAATCGACATCTCCAGTTACCTTGATCTATCCACTATCCTTCTCCTCATCCTTTCTTCTATCACTCCTATCTGCTCTCTCTCCAAATCTTCAGCACCCCCCCTGCATCCTAGTGGCTTCACGCCTTGCTCGGGGCGTAATGCTTAAAAAAAAAAAAAAAGCATGCACAGTTGACAATTAGCATCAGGTGGTGCGGTAATATATTTTGATATTGGTATATTTTGAGTTTGCAAAATGATTTAATTAAAGGAAACTAAACTTAATTATAATTTATAATTAAATATTAATATTAAATTAAAATAAAAGTCATTACAATTTACAGTGTAAAAAGTAAATGAATAAAGCTGCAATTATTACAGGCTTAGTCATTGATTGATTTGTTTTACGGCTTATCAACCAGGTTATTAGTAGGTTATTTAAAGCCAGAAAATATTTTAGGTTGTAAGATTTTTTGAGAGAGATAATATTGATTTACCGATACAAGGCTTATTAATTAACCCATAGCTGGTGGAGAAGACGTGGATTCATACCTTTCCCAAATGTAATTGCGCGTAAGTGAATTCGACTGGAACTGGAGCCCGGTTCTTCTACTCCTCATGCATAATCATTATCACCACCATTTCACCACCCGCACATCTACATCTTACAGCACTGGTATTCACAAGCGGTCACCTGTCTATGTACTTACCAGGTTTGACGTTGTTTAAATTCGGTGAAAGTACGGGAATAGGTGTTTCAATTTGATGCGGCCGTAAACTGATATTATTACTGGTTTACTGAATTACGTTATTGGAGGTTCTCTATTTGACCATAGCTGAGGACCCTAACAGGTACTACCACCTTGGGTCAGGGTGGACCTTGGAACAACAGCAATTAAAAGGTGGTTCCACGCTCCTCAAAACCTCCCGATGAGAGGCCTTACTACAGGATGTAGTTTATACACAGGAAGCTGAAGATCAGAGGAAACAACACAAGACCTACCTAGCAAGTTTGAGCAAATGGATGGCAGAAGTGGGTTTAGGAGAGATGGCAAAAAGGCAAAATTTATTAAGAGCTATAAAGGACAGGGAATTGTGGAGAGTCATGATCGCAAACGTCCCGAAGGGACATTGCACACAAAGTAGAAGATATCTCGATATAATGGTTTATGGGAGCACCACCAGAAAGATCCTGTTCCACAAGGCCGCGTAAACGACCTTGAGCTCTGCCAAATCTGGAAAGTGAAAATTGAACATCTCCAGTCCAGATATGGCAGCAATGGTCTATTTCTTGATCCAATCTGACTCCTGCAATGATAAAGAATGACAGGAGCAGCCTGGTACTTCCTAGGGAGATAAAATTTACCAACCATTTTCCTGGCATCCATAGCAATAAAATAAACGTGCCTGAGTCAAAATAGGTCTTTCTTCCAAGAACAAAAAGGACGATTCAAGTATTGCAGTTGTGTCACAAGGTTAGAGGCTGATGCAATTCACAAAGGTGGCAGCTTGCTGTGAAACCAAGTGAGTTAGGAGGAATTAACCAGATTCAAAAGTGACTCAAATTAACCCACCCCAACCTATATGAGTTACACTTGAAATCTGGAATGAAGTTGAAACCCAGAAGACGTTCAAAACATGGGACCTCATGTAACCGTTCTTCGTGACTGGTTAACTCTCAGGATTTGAATAGTGGCGATGAAACGATATTAGTTTTGTTTTTGAGTCATTGTACTGTTAGAGCTTGATTATTGAATAGATAAGCTGTAAGGATCTGAGCGTCTTGGTTTTTGGAACAGTGTCTGTAAACAGTAGTATCATCTAGATGTTTACTTATGATCTGAGAATATTCCTAGGTTGATCGTTAATAAATAAATATAAAAATCAAACAGTAAAACCAAAAAAGAGCCTTTAATTCAGTAAAGGGGCTTCTTCCTTAGAGCAACAGGAAGTTTGTCTCAAAGATTGTCAGCTAATGCCTCGCATTTGAAGCCTTGTGCCATACTAAGCTAGGCTGTGTAAATTATTAAATATCTTCAAATGCACCAACAACAGAACCGTAATGGCGCCGGGTCGGAGGCGAATACATCGAAAAATAGCAAGGTACCAAAAGAAGAACTAATTTGACACCTGAAATATGAATGTAACGTTTACCATTAAGGAGGTACACAGTACAAAAATGTGTGGCCAGCTCATCGTTACAAAGGTCAGTGCTTTTAGGAAAAAGAAATTCGAGTCGCATGTTAGATAGGAAGAAAAGGTCAGCGTGATTTGGTTGAAGGATGGGCGGGTAGAGAATTCTGGGAAAAAATAAAGACGTAAAATGAATGAAAGGGACGGTGATAGCGATAGAGAAAGAGATACGGGAAAATATGGTGTGAAAGAAGAAAGTTAAAGAGTGAGAGAGAAAGAGAAAAGAGAAGAGAAGAAAAGGAAGAGAAGAAAGATAGAAAAGGCCGTGTGAGACAGAAAGAGATAATGAATGAGATAGGGAAAGGGAGTAAAGATAACAAAAAGTGAGAGACAAGAAAAGAGAAGAGGAAAAAGAAAGGAAAGATAGCAATAAGTAAAAGTGAGAGAGAGAGAGAGAGAGGGAGGGGGGGACGGAAGAAAGAAATAAAGAGAAAAAGAGAAAAGATAACAATGGAAATGAGAAAGGGATAGAGTAGAACGACACGAAACATAAAGAGTGACGGAGAAAGAGAGAAGCAAAGAGGGAAGAAAAAGAGGGAATATAGAAAAGGGTGAGAGAGAGAGAGAGAGAGAGAGAGAGAGGGAGGGGGGACGGAAGAAAGAAATAAAGAGAAAAAGAGAAAAGATAACAATGGAAATGAGAAAGGGATAGAGTAGAACGACACGAAACATAAAGAGTGACGGAGAAGGAGAGAAGCAAAGAGGGAAGAAAAAGAGGGAATATAGAAAAGGGTGAGAGAGAGAGAGAGAGAGAAAAGAGAGGAGGGGGGGACGGAAGAAAGAAATAAAGAGAAAAAGAGAAAAGATAACAATGGAAATGAGAAAGGGATAGAATAGAACGACACGAAACATAAAGAGTGACGGAGAAGGAGAGAAGCAAAGGGGGAAGAAAAAGAGGGAATATAGAAAAGGGTGAGAGAGAGAGAGAGAGAGAAAGAGAGGGAGGGGGGGACGGAAGAAAGAAATAAAGAGAAAAAGAGAAAAGATAACAATGGAAATGAGAAAGGGATAGAGTAGAACGACACGAAACATAAAGAGGACGGAGAAGGAGAGAAGCAAAGAGGGAAGAAAAAAGAGGGAATATAGAAAAGGGTGAGAGAGAGAGAGAGAGAGAGAAAGAGAGGGAGGGGGACGGAAGAAAGAAATAAAGAGAAAAGAGAAAAAGATAACAATGGAAATGAGAAAGGGATAGAGTAGAACGACACGAAACATAAAGAGTGACGGAGAAAGAGAGAAGCAAAGAGGGAAGAAAAGAGGGAATATAGAAAAGGGTGAGAGAGAGAGAGAGAGAGAGAGAGAAAGAGAGGGGGGGGGGACGGAAGAAAGAAATAAAGAGAAAAGAGAAAAGATAACAATGGAAATGAGAAAGGGATAGAGTAGAACGACACGAAACATAAAGAGGACGGAGAAGGAGAGAAGCAAAGAGGGAAGAAAAAGAGGGAATATAGAAAAGGGTGAGAGAGAGAGAGAGAGAGAGAGAAAGAGAGGGAGGGGGGACGGAAGAAAGAAATAAAGAGAAAAAGAGAAAAGATAACAATGGAAATGAGAAAGGGATAGAGTAGAACGACACGAAACATAAAAGAGTGACGGAGAAAGAGAGAAGCAAAGAGGGAAGAAAAAGAGGAATATAGAAAAGGGAGAGAGAGAGAGAGAGAGAGAGAGAGAGAGAGAGAGAGAGGGGGACGGAAGAAAAGAAATAAAGAGAAAAGAGAAAAGATAACAATGGAAATGAGAAAGGGATAGAGTAGAACGACACGAAACATAAAGAGTGACGGAGAAAGAGAGAAGCAAAGAGGGAAGAAAAAGAGGGAATATAGAAAAGGGTGAGAGAGAGAGAGAGAGAGAGAGAAAGAGGGAGGGGGGGACGGAAGAAAGAAATAAAGAGAAAAGAGAAAAAGATAACAATGGAAATGAGAAAGGGATAGAGAGAACGACACGAAACATAAAGAGTGACGGAGAAAGAGAGAAGCAAAGAGGGAAGAAAAAGAGGGAATATAGAAAAGGGTGAGAGAGAGAGAGAGAGAGAGAGAGAAAGAGAGAGAGATGGAATGAGATTAATCAAGGATAGGGAGGAAAAATAACACAGAGTGAGAGACAAATAAAGAGATGAGGAGAAAGAGAGGAAAGATGGCAATGAGTGAGAGTGAGGGAAAGAGAGAAGACGCAAAGAAAAGGAAAAAGGAAAGACAAAGTGTGCGATTGAAAAAGAAAAAAAGAGATGAGGAGAAAAACAGGCGTGAGAAGAAGTACGTGTAGATACATAGATGTGGACATAAGAGAAACGAAAAGGGGAAAAAAGAATAGGAGGAAGAGAAACAGAAAGAGGGAGGAAGAAAAATGAGACGAGAACAGAAGGGATAAAAATGGACTGAGAGAGGAAAAGAAAGAAGGAGAAAGAGAGTGGAAGAAAAAATAACGAAAAATAAAATGTGTGTGTGCATGTCTGTGTGTGTGGGAGAGAGAGAGAGAGAGAGAGAGAGAGAGAGAGATAAGTAAAATAGAAAAAGAAAGAATTTGAAAGAGATAAGAGAAAGAGAAACGAGATAGAGACCTCTACACACACATATAAATATATATATATTGTCATCCACAGACAGATTGATCGCTGTATCACAGCTCATCAGAGTGATAGATGTCAGGTTGCTTCTAGCTAGGATCGAAAACAGTCGGAGATTCTACACCTAAGCCATTGGCGCACAGCAGGGATGACGGTGAATTTAAGCGCATATATATTGGAGTTTATAAGCAGTAAATTCGACCTTGTCTACCGAACGCTTCTTTGTAGCCTAAGCGGTAAGGCACGTCAGCGTATATGACGGTTCCGTATAGGATGCAGGTTCGAATGCTGTCAAAGAACGAATATTTTCTATGAAAATTTCTCGGACATTCAGGCCGGTAAATGTTATTTAATACTGTTTATCATAAACAGAGCATTTGCTTAAATACTTGTATCTATAAAATAACAACGTTAAACATAAAATATGTCTTTAATAAATATATATATATATATATATATATAGTCTTCTAAAAATGCACTGACTCTTTAAATGACGATAAATTCAGTGCTTATTGACTTGCAAACAAGGTTAATGATTAAAATTAAGAAATATTAATGTCTATTGACTTACAAAGAAGATTAGCAGCTTAAATTAAATAAATTAAATATTACATGAAATTAAATGCATTGGATTTGAAAAAAAAAATTCAAAAAGTTATAAGAAATCAAAAAGTGAGTACATTTTTGGGGATACCATATATATATATATATATATATATATATATATATATATATATATATATATTTAATTTCATATCTTTAATTTCCCCCTCTCTCTCTTTCTCTTAAAAAAAAACAAACTTTTTCCTTTTCTTTGCGTCTGGATAAATTGAACTCCATTTATTAACAAAACGCTGGACTGAAGAGATGGATGTAAAGCATACGAAATAAATTATAACCGGATGGATTTTAAGCATTCTCTACTAATTATTATATTGCTCTGTTCTTACATTGAGCTCGCTTTGGATTAATTTCCTCCTTGGAATTATCCCTACTTTTTTCAATTGATATTATATATATATATATATATGTGTGTGTGTGTGTGTGTGTGTCTGTGTGTGTGTGTGTGTGTGTGTGTGTGTGTGTGTGTGCATAAATCGAAGGTAGTATGGAATTTTGTTGCTACTTTTTGTGAGCAGTACACTTTGTAGTCTAATTTGAAGTAAGCAAGCTGAGGGGCGGCTTTCTTCTGTTACAAGTGTTTTTGAATGGTCTGTATTATTCGATTGGCGACGTTGAATGTCATCTTAATTGGAAAATATTAAAGAGTAGGTAATCTACTTTTTTGTAGACACGTAAGTGATTACGACTCTCCATAGTTTAATCCGTGAATTTTCATGTTTTTGGCGAGAGTGGTGTGGTTTCCTGTTGCTTTCTGCATGGTTCTGAATTCGATGGTTTTTTTTGTTTTTTTTTACTAGACTGGCTGCCAACCAGTCAACCTTGCTATTTGACCCATAGCTAAGGGAAGGAATAAGAGATGGATTCAGGCCTTTCCCAAGGGTCTTTCTGTTACACTGACAATAAAGCTTCATGTGTTAAAGCATGTAACAGTTTTCTTTTGATTTTTCAACATAAAAGGTGTTTCAGTAACTTTTTAAATGTGAATTAATTTTAAGCGTTTAAGGATTTTTTTTCTTTTACTTCCCGATTTAACAACTTAAGATTTTGTCGTCGTATACTCCCGTCGAATACGACAAGAGAGTCCATATATATATATATATATATATATATATATATATATATATATATATATATATATATATATATATTGGTGAGAAAGTGACTGGAGTCGAGACCCCAAGTGAGGACCAATTACATTGCGATTTTGTCGAGGACCTTTAGACGAACAGATGGGGGCTCCACACCATATATGGAAGCAGTATCCCATGCAAGAGCGAATGGTTGATTTATAGATTTGAAGGATGGACTCAGGGAAGAAAAACTTTCTGGTGCGAAACAGTAAACCAAATTTCCTTGCGGTAGATGAAGCTATTGGTTCAATGTATTTGTTTCATCTTAGGTCAGCGGACGGACCAAGCAGGCGCAGAGTTCTTATTGCTCAAAGTCCAAGCTAACAGTCCAATTCTGTTATAAAAACCTCGGAGAATCCTAGATATATTTAATCATTTTTAAGATACAAAGGTGTTGAGGGGTCCTCCCCTTTTTACACAAATGGACTCACTCAGTATATACATATACTACTGCTACGTGAAGGCATTAAGAAGAGGGAGAGTGAAAGGTTGAAGGTAACAGACAGACAGACAGACAGACAGAACGAACGTAGTCAGCAAGAGTCACAATTGAGCGAGCACCTAGACTCAGTAAGAAGTCATAAGGCGATACTTCAATACCAAAGACTGTATAGATATTTTGCTACTAACCCGTATTCCTGGAACTACTAACCTGCATTACCAGTTTGTATTATTACGTTAACCCATTATTTTCTTATCTTCATTCTTGGCGTTTGTTATTTATTGGTACCGGATAGCATCCCGGAATCCACAACAAAAGGTTTAAAGTTTAATCTAACAATTGGAGAATTTTGCTTTTTACACAATTTGGACAATGTTGCTGTTACACATTATCTATATATATATATATATATATATATATATATATATATATATATATATATATATATTGTATCAATCAAGGGTTAGAATACAAACTATGACAGCTGGAGAAGACAGCTGGAAAGAATCTAAAAGATTAAAATAATAAAAAGTAACTTCTTAACTAATAGGGCGCGTACGTTTAAGGACAGACATATTTATTTGATAGAATCTTTTGACAAGGTATTATGTTAGCTCGAAAAATTGTCGGCAGCACTGGCTTTTTCTTCTTCTATGTACTGATGTAGTCGATTATGGCTCTCCACAACTTCCTGTCCTTTGCAGTTCTTTTAAAAAGATTTCTTTTTATTTTTTGCTATATATCCTAATTCCTGTTCTACTATTTACATAAGCCAGTCACATTGGTTATGCTTTACTTTCCTTTGTTCCTCTTGACTTTAATATATCCTGTCAGTGTTAAATTTCCCAAGCCCTCTTTCGTCATGTGTTCTACAAATTTCTCTTTCTGACGTGTTAACGACCTTTTTGCTTTCATTGTCTCTTAAACTTCGTTGTTAGTCACATGTTCAGTCTATGGTATTCTCATAATCCTTCTGTAGAACTACATTTCTGTTGCCTCGGGTCTTTTCTCCATATGTGATGAGATTGTCCAGCATTCGGTGTCATGTAGAAGTAGCGATATTACATAACATTTGAGTATTATTTTCTTCTTTTTTTCTAATGAAATTTTCCCGTTTCTTAATACTTTTCTTATCTTTTCGAAGGCATCTTTTGCTATCTCATTACGCCTTTGGATTTCTGTATCGCGTTTTCCATCTTGATGATTTTACTAACCATAATCGCCCGGTACTAGTCTACTCGATAGTCGGTGGGTAACTACCAAAAAGGATAAGACCCGTTAGAAACAGCCTGCCAGTTCACATTGCTAACCTCACTCAACCGAAAGCGCTCATTTATAATTGGTCTACGTCATTCAAACCTATTTATCACTGAATTTTCAATACTGTATCAGCACATTTTTCTTAGGATAGAGCCTTTAACCAATCCTCCAGAAAAAAATTTAATTTAAGAAATAAATATTTATTTGTTTATGAGACAATATCTCATAAAGAAGTGTCAAAGTTTTGTTTGTCATCTATGTCCGGTTTAACAAACACGAATTTCGTTTCATTATCAATGCCTGTAATCAATTTAAATATTTTGGTTTGTAAGCATTTCCCAGAAACAGGCATAAAATAGAAATCCTGTCAGAAGAAATCTGGGCTGTGTACTGGATGGAAGAAAAAAATCAAAATTATAATTATCTGACCCCCTCCTCCAAAAATAAACCGTCGCTATAAAAAATTTAAAACATCTAAACTTATAATTAAAAATAATAATTCACCTCTTAGAACAAAATTAAACGGCAAATATTATTAACGAATTTAAATGCCCATTAAGGAACTGTATTCCTGATCAATCAAAATTCATAAATAATTATATAGGCCACACTACAACATGTTTGACACGCAGACTCACTCTACACCTTTCTGACCATAGCTCAATTAGATCTCATTTAAATATTCATGGAGACATACCGGACACTATTTGTAACATACTTGCTGACGACATAGATATAATAGCAATGGATTAATGGAAGTCTTATTAATAAAATCGAAAAAAAAACAACACTTAATAATATTAACTTTGAACATGGCCACAATATCTTGACCGTGTTTTGAAAAATGAAAACGTTATATAAATATATACATGCAACAAACTATTTTTTATTTAACAGTTAAAATATTTAATCCTTGAAAAATTTCTAAGACTACCAATATATATATATATATATATATATATATATATAATATAATTTATATATATAATATAATATAATTTATATTTATAAGACTACTAATATATATATATATATATATATATATATATATATATATATATATATATATATATATATCTTATAAATATAAATTATAAATTATATAATATATATATATATATATATATATATATATATATATATATATATATATATATATATTGTGTGTATTTAGGCAGCATCTTTTCATTCATACTGTCTTGTCCGTATATTGCTTAATATGTTGTAATTGATATCTTTGATAATGGCTTATGTAAGCCGAAAGATTAGATTGTATTAAAAAAAATATGGATCAATATTGTGAATTTCTTTTTTTTCATTCAATGATAACGTTATTAAACTTATTAGACGTTATGAAAAGAATTTACATAAAATAAATAGACAACACTTGTCTATATTATTTAATGAAACGTGTATGAATGAAAAGATGCTGCCTAAATACACACACAATAATATATATATATATATATATATATATATTAGTAGTCTTATAAATATGCAAGATTCTACCGAGAAGAACTGTCTATCAAGATACCGTGAACAATTTCAAAGACAAACGAAACTTCCTTCGTGACTATTAATATTTTTTTATATAGTTTTTCGATATATGTACTAATTTTCTTTTAAATTTGCGTTTGGTATTTGTTAATATATCTCTAATTAATTTTGGCTAACTTTAGCCTTTTTCAAAGACGTAACATCAGAAACAAGCACTTGAAATATCTAGAGCACGTAATGAGGAAAGGAAGCGTAGATAATTTGACACTCACAAAAAGCACTGAAGTCAAGCGTGACAGAGGAAAACAGCATATATCCTACCTAACGAGCTTGTATAAATGTATGGCAAAACAGGATTTAGGAGAAATGGCAAAAAGAAAAAAAATCTACTAAGAGCTACAAAGAACAGGAAATTGTGGAGAGCTGGTTGTTTGCCGTGCAAAACTGAGCCCATTTTTCTGCGTCCATCGCAAAATCCTAGTCCATATTGGTGGCTACAGGGGAGCTGTAAAGTCTGAATACATAGGAAACTTTATTAACTATATATTTGTTTTAACTCCACAAATTAAATATGGTTTTGTTGAAAGAACAAAGAACTGAACTTGATTTCCTTTTCTGAGCTATGCCAAAGATGTACTTCAATGAAAATCACAGAGAAAGCATAAAGAGTGAATGTGTTAAAATTGACGGCAATGTGGAGTTATTGTACCGTGCAAAGCGCATCAACCTTTACATTACAAATGATGGCAATTATATTGAAGATGTTATTTGTTAATATTACAATTCAGTAAGATGTTGCTGGAAATTTCATTTCTTGAAAATATGCATTTTTGCTTTTGGTACAACTTGTATTTACTGTCTCCTTCTTTTACTACTTTAGTATTTAGGTCTCTTTTCTTTACTCTTGGACTTTCCCAACGTTGTAAAACTTATCAATTTCTTCTTTCTTGTTTTGTACCTTATATCATAAAATCATCATAAACAAAACTTAGCATAATAAAGTATGTTCTTATTTCAAATTCCGGCGAAAAGCGGAACTCGTGCGTTGTTTTCCGCTGCAACACCGACTTTGAATTCAAACTTGTTTACATCTGTGCTCTGCCGTTGATTTCTTTTCAGTTACATTTCAGTCGTGATTTAGAATCCATTTTTCCACATGGCTCCGAAGAAATGTCCCAGTGCAAGTGCTAATGCTAAGCGTGAGGCTATATTTCTGGAAGATATGGGGGAAATGAATTATTTTATCCTGAATATTGAACGTACATATAATAAATATTGTAATATGCAATGTAGAATGCTTATTTGCGGTTTATAGCGCGGTTATTTTGACGCAGAGCCGAGTTCGAATTCCAGTCGAATCCATTACATTCACTTACGTGCTAATACCCTTGGGAAAGGTGTGAATCCTCTTCTTCTTCCTCCAGCTATGGGTAAATAGCAGGACAGACTGGGATGTCAACTGGTCTAGGGGAAGGACAACTCTGAATTCAAAACCTGCGTTTGGGGACCTTGTGGCATTTAGTGCACCAGGTCTCTGAATTCGGAATTCTGAAAGTGTGGATGGTCCTGCACGAAACTATAATCAAATCTTATGTGCCGTTGTCGGGCTGTCGGTTTCCTGGGAACTGATCTGCTTGACCCTCATACGTCGAACTCGACGGGAGAGTCGACTATATATATAATGGATACTATCAGGGATATAGTAAATGGCTTCCCTTTGACAACAGCAATAGCGACTTCCTCTTCTCATCAATTAGAAATGCACTTTTAAAATCTGACTTTACTTAATATCGAGATTTTCTATAGGAACTCTATCGCTCAACAAAGTCGTACTTCTGGTGAGGACATCAATACCAAAACGTTTCAGACCTCATCAGGAATACGACAAGAAGCAAATAAGAGGTTTAATCTAAATGATCTCTTCCTAGACAATGCTCTGTACATATACAAACACAGATGGAGACTGATGAAATCATTTAAGCATTGAACTCATTTAAACGAATATACAAATCCTGCTTTCCCTTTCGGGGTCAATATACTACTGATATGTGAGCCTATGCTGATGACATACGTATTCAGAGTTGGGATAAGGATGTTCTTGAACAAAAAATCAAGTAATATTCTAACAAATAGAGCTCCAGGTAAACGTTTGCGAAAAAGAAACTATGATCTGGAATTGGAATGAAAGCAGTGTTGGCACCTACACGCGATCCATCATTAAATTCAAGATGTATTGTTAATAAATACTAAACACTTGAAAAACCTAGTTGTAGGGATCAGTTATAATGAATTTACTATAGGAGAAAAGGAAATTGAACATAGAATATCGTGCGCTAGAGGTAGTTTCGCCCAATACAACAAATTGCTACAAAACCAAAACATTAGCCTAAAAACTCAATTCATGTTCTTAAATAGTCTCGTCAGATCGAGACTTTCATTCGTTTGACAGGCATAACGTCTTCAGAAATAACTAAACTGTCAGTCGCGTACAACCACTTTCTCAGACAATGGCTTTGTGTGAACGAAGATTTTGAATCTTAG